CCAAATATCAACGGTCATCATCCATCCTCCATTACAGAAAGAAGATATAAGATTAAAAAACTCTGTAAACCCCGGATGGGTGGAACCAGATATAAACTATATTTATTATTGATTATAAATTGGATATTTTATCTTTATAAAAATTTATTATTAACCAATCACGATCCACCTAACCAACAACCTACTTATTTGTAACTGCTGAAATTACTTGTAATTTCAGCACCAGAGAGATTTGAAATTAACTTAGAAATTAATTATCTCTCCAAGAGACCTTTAGCAATCGCAATAAGCCAGTGTACTCTAGATCTATTGAGCTTAGCAGAGACTAGTTAAACACCCTGAGACTAGTAGATATAAGAGTAAGATTAGGATCGGTATTAGACTAAGAGGTTGCACGAATCTATCCGGCCGAAAATAAGATAGCGTGACGTTACTCTATGAGTTACACCTCGAACCTAACTCAACAGCCCACATTCGATGCATAATCAAATATCTCATTGTGAGAACCAAATAACTCTTTTCAATTATGTTTTGAAAGGTTAATTCGTCGACAGGAAAACAATAGACAACGTTTACAGAATACAAGAAGAGCACAATCATCATCTGAGCAAAATTGGGATTATCATTGACAGACGAGATATTTTTTTACAATTGAGCGCAGGAAAAAAACTCAAACGATCAGAAATATTTTGTCTCACATTCATCATTACAAGACTTTTTTTGTCATAGCAAAGACTACAGAAGTAGATGAGTGAAGAGAGCGCGCGGGGGGGGGGTTGCAAGGCAGACCCCATGTTTTAACATACGTTATAAATTTCCGGTCTGCCTCGCTATGTTTTAACATTAGAAAAAGAGTTTCCAATGCATCAAGATAGTGAATAGAAATGGTAAGTTTTCAGTGTTTGTGTAATGGTAAGAGAATGGTGAGAAAAATGGTAATTTTGTGGTTTTGTGTAGAAATTTTTAGTTTTTCCGCAAAACATCTCGGACTCGTTATCTAATTGGTAAAAATCATTTCTGTATTATCTTGCCATTACACAAACACTGAAACCTATCCACTTTTGTTCCCTATCTCAATACATTGGAAACTCTTTTCCTGATGTTAATACATAGCGAGGCTGACCTAAAAACCTAATGCATGGGGTCTGCCTCGCACCCGCAGCTCTTCTCGCTCATCTAATATTGACTATTGTTTTTTTTTGATAATTTTTGGTTTACACAGTCAGCATCAGTTTAAAACTAAGTGGATAAAGTTTTTGACAAAATAATTTTAATGTTTGTGGAAGGAATAGGTATATTTTATTATAATTTTAATGGAATCAATTAGATTTTCACCCTTTAAAAACTTTCCGCACTCAAAAATTTGAGGGTTTCATTATTCAATAAGAGACAAAGGGCTATTAATGCGCGATTCATTTATCCAATGAATAACGTTTTATGACAGTTTTTACGCCACCATAACTTTACGAAAGAAGTGGATACAAATTTGCTTTCATTCTGAGTTTAACTTATCGACGTTTCTCAAATGGTAGAAAAAAGTTTGTCAAAATTGTTATCTAGAAATTTCTAGTTTATCTGGTTAATAAAAAAAGCGAACATTTGACGTTGAAATGGACATAATAAGACTAAATTAATTTTAATATTAAAAAATGAGAATATGTTAGATTACAGTTCATCATTAAGAGCCCGCCTCACATGCCATACAGTGTTTTTACAGATTATTGAAACGCACAACAAATTCCAAAACGAACAGCAAAGCAAAAAAGCCCAAAACAACATATACCTACGGCAAATAATATCTTCTGCAGGTTACCTATCAACTCTTTTTGTTCATTTTTCAACCTGACTAGTTCACAGTAATACTGATGGCAAGCTTCAGTTATCTTTTCTTGACGATTTGTTTCATCTAATAGAGCTATGGTTGTTTTTTCAATCAGATAACTTTTGATATGCGAATGAGTTTTAGAGTGAGTTTCACTAATCGGTGAAGTTTGTTTATCTATCCAATTTTCCATATATTCTGCAAGGTTTAGGTAGTCGTTTGAAAGTTGTAAAGATGATTCATTGCAAACTGTTTTCCGCCAGTCCAAGACAGTAAACATGTTTCCAAGGTAGAAAGGTTGCAGCCAATTGGAGCCCAATAGAATGACTTCAATTCCCGAAATTTCATCCTGTCGCCTTTTACCGCGATAAGTCAATGCAAGGGTTTTTTCGTTAGTGCTTCTTTGAATCGTAATCCCATCTTCGGAGTTAATTTCCAGGGACCAGAACTTCCAGGGACCATCTGATGCAATTATTGCAAACGTTTTCGTCGCGTTCTGCACTGAGTTACCAACACAATTTTCACGACTTTTGTAGAGTGTAACTTCCACAATATTTTCATTGAATCTAGTGTGGCGTTTCACCTCATTGAGGAAATCTTGGCGAAAGTTTAAGACACTGCACCGTCGGGGTAATCGAGATTCTGCATCTGGGTCAAAATACAATCTGAGGTTATTTGTATTACATGTATAAACAGTTGAATTCATTTTGTAAGTAGCGAATGAACTCGAAAAAATTTATTACTAAACACAACAGTTTTGCGTAGGAAATAAAAGTGCTGGTGTTTTATAGATAAGCTATTGTACAAATGATAAATGTAATATTATTTGTTCATTCTCGATAAATAGCATTATCTATAAACTGAATGCAATTGTTAAATGCGAGGAGACCATTTGAATGAGCTTTGTGATATGTCTTTATTCCATCTGTCCACCCGAGCTAAGCACACAAAGAACTTTGAAAGACGAATTATCCTCAGTTTGATGCTAAATCCGGGTGTTACTTTTTATTTTCTAAATTGTAGATCTTACAGTTTTTGTGAGATTATCTTAATCCTCGGGGTAGATTGTCGTTAATTTTGAATAGACGGGGGGTTGGGGAGAGAGTATATCAAATCGTTAAAATGATTTTATACTGCTCTCGAGTGTGTATACTTACATTTAAGTAAAATTTTATCTTACTTAGTTGGTGTTTTGATTTGAGATCAAGGGTTGAAGAATAGTAAATCAATCCACAAGGTTCAGGTATAAATAAAACACCAGTAGATCGTTAGATACTTAATCTCCTCAAACGGATTTTTTTGAGGAAATTATTGCATAGGAGAGCTTGAGGATAAAGACAACCCAACCCCTTCCTTTTTTCCAAGATGCTGTTTGTTTGTTGGTTTGCTTGTTTATAGATCTTAAGGTTTTCACTTCAGTTGAAATAGTAATCAGAAAATGGATTGACTTCCATGAAACCATTCAATCAACCATTTTTTGAGTTCAAAATATTTTGAGGCCAAACTGTGCACTAGATAGGCAAACAATTTTTTGTGTGTATGTTCCAGGATTTCAGAAACAAATCTCTAAACATGTTAAATTTTTGTCGGAATGATTAAAGAGTATGAAAGAACTCAAAAAGAACAAAAGGAGCTGCCTTGTTGCGGAATCCGCTGAAAAAAAATGAACAGTTTGGACTTGTAATGAAACTAGACATTTTTTTTTTGAAAAAAAAATGATAAAAGTATTCATAAATGGAGAACGTCTTTATAACTCATTTTCATTTCCACAGAATTATTGAGAATGGCATCAATTCCAGTTGAATTTTTTTCTGGAAATCGAAATTCAGAAACATAAATTGTATTCCGAGATGCCCAAAAAAGTAATGAATTTTCTAAAGTACTTTCAAAATCATCTAAAATAAGTCAACCTTTTAAAACCCGATTAATATGTTTTTGAAATCAATTCCATTTTCAGTACTGAAATACTTTGATTCAGGGGAGGATCTAGGATTTTTTCTAGGGGTTTGCGGTTTTTTAGTCTAAGGCCGACCAAATTGACTCTCCGAGCTTTCCCAAGGCTCTACAAAATCCCTGTTTTGGCTAAATGTTTTGAGCCGCTAGTAAATTTTGGAAAATCAGGCCAAAAAAAGCTCTTCAGGCCGTTTTGGGCCTTTTGGACAAAAAAATCTCGTTTTTTTTTCGGCGCGCGCTCCCCCTTCAAAATTATTGTTTATTGGCGCCGAAGGCGCTTTTAGAAAAGTTTTAATGTCAGCTAGCCAAAAATGGAGTTCTTAAAATAGTATTTAAAGCAGCCTCTGGGTAGTCAGGGAGTCAAATCCCTGAGAAAGGGGCGAACAACCCTCCATCCTAAATCCACTACTGCTTTGACCTATGATTCTTAGAGTAAGCAGTCAAAAAATAACAGAAAAAAAACTATATCAAAACATTGTTTTGGTTATGTTTTTAAATCAAAATAGGGCTCTTTTCCAGTTTTCCACCTTCCTCGTAAAATTGCAAAATAAAATTTTTCTAAAATTGTTCACACGGCTTTTTGAATGTTATAAATCGAACAAATTTGTTCACTTGTTCACGCTGACATGTTTTAACGCAGTTTATAATATGAAAAATTAATTTTGAATAGGATTTTTTATGTTAAGTTTCGGAAAATATCAAAGCGGGGGAGCTGGAAAAGAGCCCAAAATAGAATCATTGAAATAACTAATATTGACCACCATAATCAGGGGCAGATCTAGGATTTTCTCGAGGGGGGGTGAATTTTCAAAACAATTTCGAAAATTTTGTCGAACTCTTTCTTAGGTCGACCAAATTGAATTTTCGAGCTTCCCTGAAGCACTAAAAAACCCCTGTTTTTTTCCAAATTTTCTGCGCCGCAGGCAAAATTTTGAGGAAACAGGCCAAAAATCGCGTTTTTGTAGGCGTGCGCTCCCCTCAAAATTATTAAATATTTGTGCCAAAGGCGCCTTTAGAAAATTTTTTCGGGTCCGTCATAAAAATTGAATACCTCAAAGTAGTACAAAACCCTTTGGGTCGGCACAGGGTCTAATTTCTGAGAAGGAGGCGTCACCCCCACCCCTAAATCCGCCCCTGACCATAAAAATTAATTTACACAGAGAAAGATTATCTAACTATAGAGTTTCCACTCACTAAAGTTTTCAATTTACGATTGCGCATTTAGGACATTACACGAGACAATCATTGGAAGGCTTGTCGCCAGAGATGTCGCCGGACACTAGCTCCACAATGAGGAAGAGGTTCTATTGGGGCTTCCCAGACATTCGGAGAAAGTTCAAAGTTCAGATCAACAGTCCATTCTTGAGTTCCTGGACCACACAGTAATCGGCCGCAGAGGCATCAGAACCGATGGACTAATAAGTCGAACCAATCATTAACAAAACGACTTTCGGACGTCCCGCTTGAAATTGCGGAAAGTTTTGCTGCTAAATTTTAATAATTAAATCAAGGAATTTAATCGTTTATTCTGCGGTTGTTGATATTTTTTGAAGATGAGTGTTTTCGCAATGGTTATGCGAGATGTTGAAAGTGTGAGTGACATCAGCTACACAATGGAGTTATTTAACAGTACTAATTTATGAGCAAATTAGTGGACCACAGAATGTTTTTTCATCAATTTACTGTAAGATCACTATTATCGATTCATTATATCACGGGCAATTTTTAAACAATGCAAAAAAAGAATTGGTTGTTGTAAATTGAACCAAAAGGGGAAAAATCTGGCATCCAGAATTGAGGAGAGTGATAATAATACTATGAAGTCAACAAACGATAAATATTTCCTCTGAGTACAAGTTGTCCTTTTCTCTGAGAAATTCAAAACACTGATTGAGCTAGTTCAAGCGGCAAATTGAGCTACTTTAAAGTTCAATAGTTTTTTTGTTTGGAAAATCAGAATTGCAGATCATGAAAACTTTTGAAGTGACTCTGTTTTGTGGTATAACTTTACTTCAAAAATTTTGATGATCACGAAGTTGTTCTCGAAATGCATTAAGTTTGAAAATAAAAAAATCGTTTTTTTTTGAAATGAGGGTAAACATCAGAGTCATTGGAAGCCCTCAAGATCAAAGAAAAGTTTGAGCTTGTACAAAAAATTAAGATAAATCTTTCGGGACCTTTTAGAGAAACAACCATGGTTATTAAACAAAATAATGAGTTATATATAAATCTGCTCAAAGTATGAACGCTGAAATCGTCAATTACCACTTCATTTTTTTTAGAATAGTATTGAAACCAAAAGGTTTTTTTTCTAAGAAAATTGAAAAAAAATAGGTGCAAAAGCTAAAAGTGTCTTCATAGTTTCTTTGGTTTAAGTGATTTCAAAAAAAAATTTTGTTTTTAAAAAACCTTCCTCCACTTTTTGAGGTTGTAATCCTTTTATGTAGAAATCTTACATGTTGAAGATTTGATATTTCATTTTTGAAATATTGAAACGCATCTCAGCGAAAGTTAGCATTTTGACCGTAATGATTTTTGCAATTTTGTCCAATCTTGGTGTGTCTAGGTTTCAGTTTTTATTTCAATTTTTAAGCAATGCTCAAAAATGAAAGTTTCAGAAAATGTTTTTAAAATTGGATGGATTTCTTATGAAATTTAGGTTATAGAAAACTTCACCGACAATTGTGATAGTGTAGCTAAACTATTCGCAGAAGTGAACTACACTTATGCAATTATTCAAGTTCTTCTGGTTAAACACGCCAACAACATAAAATATTTTGTCGCAATAATTTTAGACAAACTTTTATATTATTTAGATATCTGGTAATATTTGATAAAGTTTCGTATACTTACTCAATTAGTTGCAGTTTATGTTTTGAAAAAATAAAGAGCATCTCTGTGAGCAATCAGGCAAACTCTTAAGAAGTAGCTTGATAATTTAATATTTGAAGTCTTAATCAAGTTTGAATTTAACTGGAGCTTGCTACATTTCGAAACTAAGTCAGGATGTTCCCAAAAAAAGTCAAACTGAATTTTCATTTGCTTTTTATCTTTCAACTCCAACGTTAATCTCATGCTTGAGGAAACATTTTTTAGCAGCCTCCAAGTCCAGACTTTGCTGATTACCTGCTGGTAGCTAGCAGAAGCTATCAAATACGAAAGTAACGAAAATAGCAAAAGTTTTGTCAAAATCAATGACTCTTTAGATCTGAAATAACCAAGAAAAACTAAATTTCAGATCTGAAACTAGATCTGAAATAGCCAAGAAAAATAAAACTTCAGATCTGAAATTAGATCTGAAATAATCCATTCATGAATAATCCAAGCGTTATTTTAACATTTCACACCCCATTTCAGTTCTGAAAAAGATTATTTCGAATCTGAATTAGAGCATTCTAAGCGGGTTCCCCAGGTGCAGCGCAAACCTAGAAAATTTTCGAAAGGCTCGTAACCTTGGATTTTCTTGAGAAACGTAATTACTCACCTGCAAAGTAGAGGAAACCACCCTACTTAGGATATTGCTCACCTCAGCTTGATAACAAAGGACACGATACATGATTCCTGCTTAATCAATTTTTTTCGGACCTTACGTTTCGTTTGGTCAAATCTTTCGTTTAAATCTTCGGCTTATCTCCTTAAGACAAAAATTGACACCGCTGAGATTTATGGATGGATTTCTTATGAAGTTTAGGCTATAGAAAAATTCACCGACAATTGTGTTAGTGTAGCTCAACTATTCGCAGAAGTGAACTACACTTATGCGATTATTCAAGTTCTTCTGGTTAAACACGCTAACTACATAAAATATTTTGTCGCAATACTTTTAGTCTAGAGTTGTAAAAGAATTGAGATTTGATGCTCTTAACCCTCCTAAACTTATAAAGATAGTGAAAAAGTCAAAAATAAAAAGCTGAATCAAATATGAAAATTTGCAAAGTCTTAAGCCTCATAACAAACAGGAGCGAAAAAGTTTAGTTAAATTTATGAGAAAGCACCTGAAAAAGAAGAAAATTAAATTGTTAAGTGTTGGGAGAATTCAAAAGCGAAAAAATATGATCTATATTAGTGTCTACTTCAACTTACAATTAGCGACAAATGAATAAACTATCTTTCTTTATCTCAAATTATCTTGCACCTAATTCTTTTTGTGAAATCTAGATGACAAACGTTTATATTATTTAGATATCTGGTAAATTTTGATAAAGTTTCGTATACTTACTCAATTAGTTGGAGATTATGTTTTGAAAAAATAGAGAGCATCTCTGTGAGCAATCAGGCAAACTCTTAAGAAGTAGCTTGATAATTTAGTATTTGAAGTCTTAATCAAGTTTGAATTTAACTGGAGCTTGCTACATTTCGAAACTAAGTCAGGATGTTCCCAATAAAAGTCAAACTGAATTTTAATTTGCTTCTTATCTTTCAATTCCAACGTTATTCTCATGCTTGAGGAAACATTTTTTAGCAGCCTCCAAGTTGAGACTTTGCTGATTAACTGCTGGTAGCTAGCAGAAGCTATCAAATACGAAAGTATCGTAAATAGCAAAAATTTTGTCAAAATCAATGACTCTTTAGATCTGAAATAACCAAGAAAAACTAAATTTCAGATCTGAAACTAGATCTGAAATAGCCAAGAAAAATAAAACTTCAGATCTGAAATTAGATCTGAAATAATCCATTCATAAATAATCCAAGCGTTATTTTAACATTTCACACCCCATTTCAGTTCTGAAAAAGATTATTTCGAATCTGAATTAGAGCATTCTAAGCGGGTTCCCCAGGTGCAGCGCAAACCTAGAAAATTTTCGAAAGGCTCTTAACCTTGGATTTTCTAGAGAAACGTAATTAGTCACCTGCAAAGTAGAGGAAACCACCCTACTTAGGATTTTGCTCACCTCAGCTTGATAACAAAGGACACGATACATGATTCCTGCTGAATCCAATTTTTTCGGACCTTACGTTTCGTTTGGTTAAATCTTCGGCTTATCTCCTTAAGACAAAATTGACACCGCTGAGATTTAAGGATGGATTTCTTATGATGTTTAGGTTATAGAAAAGTTCACCGACAATTGTGTTAGTGTAGCTCAACTATTCGCAGAAGTGAACTACACTTTGCAATTATTCAAATTCTTCTGCTTAAACACGCCAACAACATAAAATATTCTGTCGCAATAATTTTAGTCTAGAGTTGACAAAGAAATGAGATTTGATGCTCTTAACCCTCCTAAACCAAAAAAGATAGTGAAAAAGTCAAAAATGGAAAAGCTGAATCAAATATGAAAATTTGCAGTCTTAAGCCTCATAACGAACAGGAGCGAAAAAATTCAGTTAAATTTATGAGAAAGCACCTGAAAAAGAAGAAAATTAAATTGCTTAGTGTTGGGAGAATTCAAAAGCGAAAAAACATGATCTATATTAGTGTCTACTTCAACTGACAATTAGCGACAAATGAAAAAACTATCTTTTTTTATCTCAAATTATCTTGCACCTAATTCTTTTTGTGAAATCTAGATGACAAACTTTTATATTATTCAGATATCTGGTAAATTTTGATAAAGTTTCGTATACTTACTCAATTAGTTGGAGATTATGTTTTGAAAAAATAAAGAGCATCTCTGTGAGCAATCAGGCAAACTCTTAAGAAGTAGCTTGATAATTTAAAATTTGAAGTCTTAATCAAGTTTGAATTTAACTGGAGCTTGCTACATTTCGAAACTAAGTCAGGATGTTCCCAATAAAAGTCAAACTGAGTTACAAAAAGGCAATACAGTTCTCTGTTGACATTTGCACTCCCCTGCTCTGTTACCAGTAAATCAAGTTCTGTCGCGTCCATCCGATTGACCTAGATCATTTCCACGGTTGACAATTCTCCAAGTCAGTTGAACTTAAGTCTCCCCTTACCAAAGGCATAGGCTGGTTTGGGGTTGTTATCTTGAAGCTATCAGCAATGCTATCAACCTTTTTACTTCTTGTTTTTGCCAGCAGATTAGCGATTAGGTTAGTGCATAACTGAAGTCAGTCACAGCTTATTTCAGCTGATAATCATCTATAATTACAATGTAATTCACGGCTTAGCTTTTGCTAATAAAAGATAGTAAAAAAGTTCAAAGCCATATTGATTTTTCATTTTTTATCGTCAGTCTTTCATTTAGATATACAATTTGGTTTCATTAATTATAACGGATTCAGGTCAACCTACTTAAGTTTGGCCAAAACCAGTTCGGGGGTTCAAATTGCTAACACTGACGACGCGTCCTTCCTTTTAAATTACACTAAACAATGTAGTGGTCTCCCGGGATGACCTCCATAGACCGAAAATGCTAATCATACAATTTCATACACTTAGTCTATGGAAAAATGCTAATCATAGAATTTTCATACTTTTTTGCAAAATTAGTTTAATCGAATTTCAAAGGTATTTTATTGTTGTTTTGGTATCGAAATTGGTATCTCTTCATAAAAAAAAAGGAAAAAAAATCATTAAAAAATGCTAATCATACAATTTCCATATATAAAAATTGTATGATTAGCATTTT